GTGAAATGAAATTTTTAACATTAAAATAATTATAATAATTAAAATACAAATTAAAAAAAACACAAAAACACCAAATTTTTTTTGGGAGCTCCTTATGATCAAAGGAACCTATGAAAAATAAAATCGGAATTAAAATAAATACTTCATTTTTTAATATATTTTAAGCATTAAAATTAATTAAAAATCATAAAAAACACAAAATTATAAAAACACACTAAAATATCACATTTTGCTTTCTGATCATCTAGAACCAATTAAAATAATTTTATTTATTGTCTAAGTTAAGATATTGATTTTAAAAGGCTTAAAAACAAATTTTCTCTAATTTTTCACTAAAATATTCTAATAATTAAAATATAAATAAAAAAAATATGAATTTTTTTTCTTTGGGCCCATGGACTTATAGAGATTTAATAAAAATATAAAACTTAATTTTCCATTTAAATATTATTTTATATTTAATTAATACTCAAAACTAACAAATAATTTTAATAATTAAATTAAATTTCTAAAAATCATGAAAATTAGTTAAAGTGGTCATCTGACCTAGTAAAGTGGTCATCTAACCTAGCTAAATGTCCAATAATTTTATTAAGGATAGATGTTTTATTTTAGTTGAGTTATTCAATTTTCATTGAAAATCTTTGTTTTTTGCATTAAAAATAATTATAAAAATTAAATAAATTCAGAAAAATCATATTTGCTCCTCTGATGTTTTAATTAACCCATTAGTGAGGTAACATAAAACTTTTAAGTCATTTGTGTCTAATTTAATGAATTATAGGGTACTAAGTCCCTAGGGGCAAAAGTGTACTTTTGGAATTTAAGGATTAACCAAAGGGCTAAATAGGCAAAAAACAATCTTAATTGACATGTCTTGATGATTGAAACATAAAATGGATAAGTGGTAGTAACCAATCTCATTAACCAATCTCATTTTGATCTTTCTCATTTTGATCTTATTAAGGATAAATGTGTAATTTTTCAAAATTAATCAAATTTAAATGAATATTTAAATAAGGAGATATTACGGTGAGGGGTTTGAATGTAGAAGATCATAACTCAGGGATTTTAAACCCCCAACTAATGGTTTTGAGATGATTTATAATTCAGGATAAGGATTAAGAATATAAATATTGAACCTTTTTTCTTAAAATTACAAATCTACCCATTAAATTTTAAGGGCTTAGTAGTGAACTAGGCTTAATCCAAATTTTGTCTAATGAGGTTTAAAAAATAACTTATAATTAAAAAATAACTTATAAAATAACTTATAATTAATTTAAAACTTTTCAAAACAATACAAGCCCATTCTTTGAAATCAAATTAACCAAATCTTTAATTAAGTCAAGAAGCCCCCAAGGGTCTTTACCCATATAACTCATAAGTGAGACATCAAGTGATAACTACCCCACTTAAGAGATAATCAAAGCATTAAATTCATTAAGCATAAGGGTATTAATTGGATGAACTATATAAAAAATATGATAAAACCATAATAATATGATAAAAATAAAAAATATGATAAAACCATAATGAACTCAAGATAATTCCAAGGACCATGAAATGTCTATGGTATTACCCGAGACTTATTCATATTTTTTTGGAAATCTTGAAGGACACGTAAGCTTATTATAATTTGCTTAATGGAATCATCCTTAAAATTTAAATACACCAAGATATGACATAGGATTTGGTTGGTACACTTTAAGCTTGTACTTCATACTTTTTCTATAAGCATGCTTTAATTCCTACAAAATTATGCATATATATGCTTTGCAAGTACTGAAATTTCAGGTGGAGAAACGAGAAAACTCACCGGGCATGCATTTATTGTTTACAGTGTTTTCTTTTCTCAAACTTTCCTGCATTGTACTTTTATTTTTGCAAACTTACATGTTAAACAACGATGTCACCCTGCATGAAAACTAAAACCTTTAGGATATCCACAAAATTGAAACTAAAACCAAAACTGAAATCAACCAAGCTAAAAATTCACTGCCACCACATTCAAAATATAAGATAACACAAAATCTAATCACAAATATCACAAAACAACAATTGCAACTAAATTAAGACGTCTCTATCGGATGATCTGGAATCCCTCGGAGAAGGTAACCAAGGTATGCTGAAGGTAACCTACGGTTGCTAACGAGATTTTCCACAATTTAAATGAGAGTATGGAACTCATTAAGTTGAGTTTAGTAAATTCATTTAGATTAAGTGAATCCGATAGAAAATAATGGTACCAGAACGAGGGAATTGTAGGATCTTAACTGGTGTCGCTCTAATAAACCATAACCTTAGGGACATTTGATTTGACATCATAATTGGACACATTAGAAACTTAAACTCGTCATGACGAGGAGCTTAGAGCTAATATTGTGGGCAGCATGGTCATCTTAAACTGAAGAGGATCTACAACAGCATATCTTTCCTTAGAATTAAACAACAAACCATATGCAACATAAATCCTCAACCTTTTCTTTAGGTCTTTGTATAGCTCTGCTATACAATTTAAGCTCTAACTTGCTTTAGGATTTCAAGATTGTCGTCTATCACAACCTAAATCCTCACATCTTCAAGGCAATTTGTGTAATTGTTTCACACGAATATAAGCCCTAATTAATAAAACTGACAGAATGAAACAATAAATAATTCTAATCTCCAAAATTGAAGCCAAACAATAGGATAGACTGAGAAGTCACTGAGGTTCTCCTCTGAATCTATGAAATCCCCTAGTTCTTCCCCCTTGGATTCTAAAATAAAATGTTCCAAACTTGAGTCATTTCCCTTTCACACCTCTTTGTCTGATCTCGTTAAAAAGTCCTACCCTTTTGAATTCCTTGAAGATACTATTCCCTGTTTTTTTATCGAGAGTTTTCTTAGGTGACTCCGGTTATCTAAGATGTAATTAACTATAGGGGCTTGCCCTTATAGAAAGCATTTACAAACCAAACTTAATATAAACCCTATTTAATTCTTCGTATTAAATAAGGGAAATTATCGGCTTATAAATAAAATGGTTTTCGCAGATCTAAACGGATGTCATACAATCTTTAGTTCATTTAATCGAGCATTCACCAGCAAGTAATTTATCTATTTCTTGGGATAGGTGCACTACTTGCGGTATTAGACTCGTTTATTTAAACTACTAAGGATATGAGATCGGTCTGATCTTGTATCTTCAAATATCCAAAATACTATTTTTTTTTCCAAATTATATATATAAATTAAATTAAAACGGGAGTTAGGGTAGCCATCCTAGCAGCTGACAACTTAACAACTCTTTAACCAAAAATAGTGCCGACAGAAATCATCTCTCTATTATAGGGGAGAGAGTACAATACATTGATGGTACTTTATAAGTATGAGTCTATTGCCCATTTGTTCTTTGACTTGGTCTATTTAGCTTGTTTGGCTTCGACTCGACAGGGCCGACCTGATTGGCTAGATTTAGTCAGTGTTACCAATTGACTGAACTTGATTGGCTTTAAATTATTAGAACTGATTTGATTGGCTAATTCAGTCTAGTTGTCGACCATTGATAATAGATGGTGGAGCTTTTGGATGTCCCCAGTTAGATTGGAGATCATGAGGGGCTAGATCTTCCCTCGAGTTGAATGCTTCATGATTGTTGACATGGATGCCTCTTTGTCTGGTTTCTGACCAAACAACACAAATTCTATCATTCAGTTGTCTTTGTGACTCAATCAACGTTGGCTTGCTCGCTTTGCCTCAAAAGATTGCACTCAGTCTGATAAGTGAGCCTTATGGTCTTCTTTTAGTGGGCCTTCATTCATTGTACTCTTCTTGTTTGGACCGTTAGATCTTCTCAAGATCAGTGCTACCACATTTTTAGTATACAATGAGTATTGAAATGACCTTTAACCAATAATTACACTCTTTAAATCATTTTTAACCCATGATAAACAATTCCTTGAACCTCAACCTCATTTAATAATGATTAAACCAGCCTCAAAGAAAAATTAGAAAGAGTTTATCATGTATCAAAAATTATTTGAAGATTTTTTAACCAAGAGTTAAAAATGACCAGATGGGTAAAAAAATGTATCACCCACGATGTTTAACTTGCTCTTAACTTCTAAATTATTTAATTTAAATTTTAAATAATTAAATAAAAATGAAAAAATAATAATTTCAGTTACTAAATTAATAACTTGCGTTCAGATGTAATAGGAGTTTTTACAGAACAATCACCAAAAATATTCAATATATGACCGAAACTTTAAATATAACCTTTTAACCCATCCAAAATTTTAAATATAACATTTTGATCGCCAAAAACTTTCACTCAAAACATTCACAAAAACTTTCACTCAAAACATTCACTAGTTAGTATTGAATTATGGCTGTAATGAAAAAATAGTTAAAATATTATATTTAAACGTCGTGTGATTAAAACATAAAAGTTATTTTCTTGAAAGATTGAAGATAGCTAAATTTTCCAGTCATACGTCTACTCATTCATATTTAATATTTAAAAAATATCGTAATAAATATAGCTAAAATTTTATCAAATTTATAAAATAACTACATGATATTGCATTTTAGAGAAGAAAACAATAAGAATTTTAAAGCACACATTTTCGTTGAGGAATGCGTGACAACTGATCCACAACTAATTAGCATTCTCTTTAAATCTTAAAAAACGACGCTTAGAAAGATACAATAATGTTATTTGGCCACAAGATATTACAAAAAATATGCAAGCATTAGATCAAATAAAAAAACTACTAGTATTAACACACTTTTTCCATATTTACATATCTAAAACCTAAACATCCATTTTTACATACATATCACAAATCTTTGATATTAGTAAAAATGAAATATAGCTTGTCATAGACATATTTTAACACCAAAGTCTTAAAAATATAAATATTAAACTTTGGGTGTTAGATATATAAATATATAAAAATAGTGTGATATGCATGTAAATTTCCCAAAGCTTAAACAATTTTTTTTTTTTTTTTTCATCGACTATACTACCAGCTACAACAGGCTTGGAATAGTAATGGCAAGGAAAGTTGGCTAACATGATAAAAAAAGTGCATTCTACAGAAATATAAATTTATTGGCCTAAACTCATATATTAAAAAAGTAAAGTCCTTCATAAGAGCCGTGCACAAAACTCAACCTTTTTGTCCTTCAGTGTCTGGAGTTGATCTGCAAGCGAAACACTTCGTTGTATTTTCTCTTCCTTAATGAGTTTCAAGTCCAACTTCTCTACCGATGGCTGGGCACCAAATAAGCTCTCTCTTTGACTGCTACCAGAAATCTTCAATATCCTCTTGCCGTATTGGATCTTCAGCCAAGAATATGGTTAATGTAAAGATGACAACTTGGGAAAATTTAAGTAGCTAAGAATGTCAAAGCAAAAAATAATATATATTCCAATGAAATAGCATTAGTTTAGCTAAGAATGTCAAAGCAAAAATAATATATATTCCAATGAAATAGCATTAGTTATCTAAATTGCTGGAATTAAGAAAAGGGACTTTGTTATCAATATTTGAAGCAAGGAATACCAAAAGTAAGATGTATTTCCTCATTTCCTCCAAATTTAATATTACGGTTCAATTCAGAACTCCACCTAAGCCATGAGAAAAATAATTTTTTTTGCATGTTTTATGAGTGATGTGTCCTCAACAAATTTTTATCTTACACGAATCTCAAGACTATTTAAACATTAAACATTCCAGATTCAAATTAAAAATCATCCAAGAGCCCAATTTCAATAAATTTATAGTCAAACAAACCAACTGATCAAGACGAACTCAATGATATCAAAATTGGTCTAATTCAAATCCAATGAAGTACAAATCAAGTTATTCAAACTCATTTAGAAGCTTCAAATCATTAATTGAATGGTCAAATGAACTTTAAATTTGATCTATTTATAGTCAAATCAAGCATTTCAACGAAACCAAGATAACTCAATTTCGAGGTCATTAAGGCCCTCAAATAATAAAAAAAATCTTATGATCAAGGGGATCAATGTTGGTCATTCGATCAGATAATTACGAGAGTTATTTGTTAAATAACTAAAATGTTACTCTCCCGAGAATTATAAATAGACCCCCTCTCTTCACTTGGGGGGAGGGGAAGGAGAATGGTTCTAGTGTTTTTACTGGATTATTAGACTTAAGATCTGACAATAACTTTCGGCCTCATAACCGTCAACCACTGTACGTCGGATGTCGTCGACCACCACCGACCTCCTATGCTCACCATTGTAGGTAAACTTTTTTTGCTAACAACGTATCACAAACATGGCGTAACAATGTATCTTGAATACAGTGTAACGAACATCACCGTATTAAAGATCCATCGATAACTTGCAGTGGCATCTGCTTACAACCGTCATATTTAGAATATTGGATTTACTCTAGACTCTTTTAAGTTTTCCTTACGTCGTATACTAACAAATGATATCTCCTAGTAAAATAGTAAACCCGAGAAAATAGTTGTGGCCACCAACCGCTGCAACTACCAATTACAGCCTATGTGACCACAACATATGTAGCAAATTGCTATTGCAGCTACCCACTATGGCATATGTTACTATTTACGACCTATATGGTTAACTGCTACTACAAATATCAACTACAACTTTTGTGGCAAATTCATGCTATTACAGCTATTAACTACAACCTATGTGACAAACAACGACCTATGTGATTAATTAATACTGTAGCTATCAGTTAAAGCCTTTGTGATTAATTGATGTTATTGTAGCTATCAACTATGACCTGCGTGACTAGCTACGGTCTATATGACTGACTGTTACCACACTTACGTATTACTTCGGCTTGTTACCAACTACAACCTATATGGTTAACTACTACAACACCTATCAAATACAACATTTATGGCCAATTAACGCTATTGTAACTACCAACTACGACTTATATGATCAATAACAATCTCTGTGGTTTATTGCTACTATATCTACCACCTATGACATCTATGGCCAATTGACGATATTGTAGTTGCCAACTACGTGAGCCACCAATTACAATCTATGTGACTAACTCCTACTACAGCTTCCAAATACGATATATGTGGCTAATTGACGCTCTTACAGTTACCAGCTATGACCTAAGTGGTCAGTTACTACTACAGTTTCCCACTACGGCTTATGCTGCCAACTGACGCTCTTGCAGCTACCAACAACGAATTATATGAGCAGTTAATACTGCAACTTCTCACTACTACTTCTGCGACCGACTGATGCTCTTGCAGCTAACAACTAAGAGATATGTGATCAATTACTACTACTTCCCACTGCGGCCTCTATAACCGACTGACGCTCTCTCAACTACTAGCTACGGTCAATGTGGTCAATTACAATTGCAAATTTTCATTATGGCCTCTATGACCAATTAATGCTCTTGAAGCTACCAACAATTGCCAATTACAACTACATCTCATTACGACCTATGTGGCTGACTGACGCTATTGCAATCACTAGCTACAACATTTTTGCCCGACTACTACATGTATCGTTTCTAACTACGGCCTTTGTGGTCAGTTATTGTTATTACAGCCAAAAACTATGTTGTCCAATTACGACTATAATTGTTGAACTATAATAATACATTTGTTATTATCAATTTTGTAATTCTATCTTCTCTAATTCAAGAGAAGTAATCTATGTACTTATAATAACATAATAGATTGCACTGACTAAGTTAAGCCCCGTGGGTTTCTCCCTTTTTAAGGTTTTTTCACGTAAAAAATTTTAATTTCTCCTCCTACTCTCAAATTATTTGTGTGTGTGTTGGATCATTATACAACGTTAAGATGTTAAATTATCACTTTGCCCCAGAGAATTTCTGACACAAAAAAGTAAGTAATATAAATATTATTATTTTGCAAAAAAATTGAAATAAACTTTTTTATGATTATCATATTTTAACATAATTGACTATCAAAAGCAACTTTTCAAAATAATTTTTAAAAAAAAATAATTAGTAGCCAAATGGATATACAATAGTGGACTGAAGAAAAACAGTGAGAGAACTATCACAAAGAGAAATTTTTTTAATGTTTTTCACTTGAAATAAAAGAAGTTTGATATGTTATAACATATTTAGTTAAAACCACTAAAAAAACCTCTTACATGTTTTGAGTGTTTTTAAAAATTAGTTAATTTATTTTTGAAAAAAGGATGCACCAAACAAACATTTTAGCAAAAACAAAAAATATAAAAAAAAAATAAAAAGAAAAGTGACCTCAAACAAGCCCCTAGTCATAGGGCACATGTATGAACAAAAGAATAAAAATAGGGGAGCAAGAAAAGATACAAGACTTAAAAATTTTATGAAATTAAATAAGTAATTTTACCTTAGTCAGTCTCTCCACAAGCTTTAAATCTCTCGCATAATCATTCTTCTTCTTGTTCTTGTTTAACAAGTTTTGACGCAACGAAGACTGTGTTTTGGCCAGTTCTTCCTTCCTTCTCCTTTTCTGAGCATGTTTTGCAGCCCTGTACATTGAAACCTTTTCTGCAAATAATTTTGCAGTTTGCGTTTCTTTCGCTTTCTCTTCTCTCTCCTGAATATACCGGAAATTTATATCAGCCTTTATTTTCTGGTAACTATCCCAATCCAGTTCTCTTTCGTCATTGCTGCCTTGTTTCGCTGCTTCTGCAATGTATCTCGCCCACGAAAAATAGAGTTTATCTTGCAACCTTTTATGTTTCAACGACTCATACCAAAACCTTTTCAAACTTGAACTTATCCTTGCTTTGCTCTGATCACTGAAATATTTGATTTCAATTACTTAACAGTACAGAAGATAAAGTGTAATGCGTTACATCAGTTTCTGCTAAAAAATAAATTTCATGGATGCAAACTGCAAAGAACAGCATACCTATGAGAATGAGGCCTATCAGCCATCTTTTTCCTAACCTGACATAGAAGGATAAAAACTTGCAAATCTGTCAAAAAAGAACTGATAAATACTGCAATTGGAAAAGTTGCATCAGGAACACCTATGTGTAGGAAAAATTATGAAAGCTTATAACACTTGATTCCTATGTATTAAATATCAAACACCTAAACTTCAATTTTTACATCCATACCACCTTACCACCTAAGCATGAAAAGGTGTATTTTGTATTTCACCTCTTAAAAGTTAAAAGGGTAGTATTTTTGATGTGATATGAAAGACTTGGGGGGCATAAATGTAAAAACAAAGTTTATGTATTAGATCTATAAATATTGCGTGGTATGTATGTAAATGCCTCTAAGAATTAAACTGATTTACTTGGCATCACCTTTGGGTCTTTTAATGCCTCGATAGTCCTCTTCTTAATAATCATTCGAGTCTCTGAATTTTGAAAAACATGCCAGCTTGTGAGAGAAAAATATCACATTGGTTGCTTGCTAGAAATGCAATAAGTTCAACAGCTATACCTTCATTGTGCTTTCTTCCTTTGTTCCATGGAGTTCTACCCCTATTCGCTAATCCAATTTTTCCCCTTCTTTCTCTCTCTTTATCACTCACTCCCACCGAGATTTTAGAACGAATAGAATTACTACAATCATCTATCTGTGAAATATATTCTAGGCTTTTCTCACTGGAGTCATTCAATTTTTTCAACTTTTGAAAAGATGAATCTTTCATTAAAGGCGAATAGTTGATCTTAGATGATGGCTTGTTGATTCGAAGCTGCAGAGACCAACGAGAGTGGCCTTTTGGGTGAGAACAAGAGGTAGCAGACCCTAAAGATGAATTCATTACAGAAAATAATCCTAATTTTAGCTGTTTTATTGAAGTGTTTGAGATGAACTGAAGGATGGGCATGACATTGATGTCCTGAAGCAATAAAAGTTAAAATCAAAATTACAAATATTATTACACAATTACAGAGTACACTAAAAGTGATACAGAACTGGTATATTAAAACAGTCAATGCATTATTGAAATCTTCATCAGTTTTAGCCTTAATTTATTTCGGATTGGTTTAATGAAGTCTAACTGACATTCATTTTTTCTGTCAATATAATCAAACAAACATAACAGGAAATTAAAGGCAGCCATGATTGGCCATTCATGATGGTTTTGAAAGAGCAGGTTAGTTCTATGAGAAACAAACTACTTTGGTAACGGCGGTATTGATTCAGGTTTTGGCTTGCCAGACAGTTTTTCCACTTTATGGAAGACAGGAACCTGTAGATTTTTTTTTTCTTTTGATATTTGAATGGTATTTGGTGGGAAAAATATTAGAGGAAACTGAGATAGGGGCAAAGGTTGAGAAAGATAGATCAAAAGAAGGGGAACATATTTAGAGAGAGAATTATGGGAGATGGAGAGAATTAAAGAGAGATGGTGTTAAGGGTAGTCAGGGAGTGGAGACATAAATAGAGAGGCAACTAGCGATAGCGGAGATACTGGAGGATATGAGGGAGAGGGGGGGTGGGTAGGGGGCAGTTGTTCTTATGAAAGGAGTGAGAAGTTGAGCCAGATCAAATAAACTCTGATGAAAAAAATAAGCCCTTTTATAGAGAATAAAATGCGCTTGCCATAATTATAAATACAATTCTTAGTATAATTATTGCGTGACGGAAAATTCACAATTATAAAATGATAATTTAACATCTTAGTATTACACAAAGATCCAACACACATACAGATAATAAAAAAAATAGTAAAAGACACCAACAATTTTTATGAGAAAATACCGTAAAAAGAAAAGAAATCATATGCCTAGCCCAGTGAAAACAATTCACAATTTAATTGTAAATACATAGGTTTCTTCTCTTAAATCAAACAAGATGGAAAAGTTGATAATCATTGATGTACAATAATAATTCAATAATAATAATCATAATTGGGCTAAAACATATGTAGTTTTTAAATATAATGACAATAGTTGGTTAAATAGACCGTAGTTAGAAATTATAATAGTAGTTGGTCATGCGAGTTGTAATTAGAAGTTGTAATAATAATTGACCACATATATTATAATTGATAACTACAATAACATTAATTGGTCAAATGGGCCGTAATTGAAAGTTGTAGTACCAGCGTCAACCCACATAGTCCATAGTTGAAAGTTGTAGTAGTTGACCACATACGCCATAGTTGGTTGTTACAATAACATTAGTTGGTCATAGAAACCATAATTGGTGATTATTTTAGCGTCAGTTGGCCACAAATTTCATAATTAGAAGCTATTGTAGCAATTGGCCATACAGGTCATAATTGGTGGCTACAATAGAGTTAATTGACACAAAGACTGTAGTTGATGATTGTAATAGCATTAGTAGGTTACATAGGTCGTAGTTGTAAACTATTGTAACAATTGACCACATAGATTGTAGTTAATGGTTGCAATCGTGTCAGTTGATCATAGAGGTCATAACTGGTTATTGCAATATGTCATTTGGCCAAAGAGGTTGTATTTGAAAGTTGTAATAGAAGTTGATCATATAGACTATAGTTGGTCACATAAGTCGTAGCAGGTAGTTATAGTAGTGATACTGCTTCCTGGTGCTACAACACAAAATAGGCTCCCACAAATGCACGTGTCATATCCGTATTATCATATTTTAGAGTCTGGAATGTAGATCCTATAGGGAACTTGGTAATTCAAAAAAGGAAAAATTCTAACTTGTTTTAAGTCTTAGCTTGAAAAGTTGAAAATATTAAAGTCTGAAAAGCTAACCTACTGTGTTAAAACAAACAACACATTTAAATCCTACACAAGTAATCCTACTTTTAGCAATTTGGATTGAAGATTTGGATTGAGCAATTTGGATTGAAGGATATAAAATACTTAAGAAGCTCTTCCTTGTAATGAGTTAAGTAAATTACGTGGAATGTAAAGTTGGAAGTACTAAAAGACTAGTGACAAATAGAAGCAACAATTTTCTTTACCCTCTCTTGAGTGCATAAAGAAGCTTAGATAAAAATGACTTTAATTCCTTAAATCTCATAGTTATCCATTCAAAGCATATTTTCCTAACATTTGCATCGCCCTACAAGGCATATCAACATATACTTCATAGCTTAATGTGATTACATATACTTCATAGCTTAATGTGATTAAACTAATTGATTCTACCATAGACTCTCCCAATACTTAGGATTCATAACAAGTTTTAACAAATTACTTGGTCAGAATGAAAAGTAAATTAAATGCTTAAGGTTAATCATTACCTTTGGAAAATAAAGAAATTACATAGCACTTCACATTCCATTCATCATACCTAATCATCACAAGAAAGAGTTAAAAGATTTACCCAAGAAGCATGCTTAGATCACCAAACATTTGCATTGAACAAAAGAGAAATCTAGTAATACTTAGTTACAACAAAAATACAAAAAAAAGTACATAGAAATATTTAGCTATTTCTTCTTTATAATGACCAAAGATGATTCTAATCAGTACTCCTGATTCCTTAACTTCTGGCAAGAAGAACACCACTCCCTCAACATTTAGAAGAAGAACAATGGCTCTTCAAAGGAAGAAAAACTCCAAGTAACTAACCAACAATAATCCCCTTTTGTCATGCAATACATGACTATTTATAGGCTCCAATACTTAGCATCCACGACTCCCTTCCTTCAGCACACGATCCCCCACATCTGGTGATATGAACTGCAGCAACTGCCCAAATTAGTTGTTGGCGCCTAAGTGCCCAGGGGTTTAGCGCCTAGGTGCTGGGCTCTTTGTTTGATGTGGAATGAATAGGCACCTAAGAGCCTAAGGGATCGGCGCCTAAACGCCCAATGGTTGGCACCTAAGCGCCAGCCGCTCGGGTTGGTAAGGCAAAGGTGGCACCTAGGCGCCCAAGGTTCCGGCGCCTAGGCGCCAGTGCCACTTTGCACAATCCAACTCCAACTCCTCTCTTGGTTTCCCTGCTTCAATTATCTATTGTACGTGTAAGATAAACATAAAAGTACTTTTCTTAAAGTACAATATCATTAATAGAAATGTATAAAAATAATCCTAAATTCTGGTTAACTTTTTCATTCATCAAGTAGCAATTGACCGTATAGATCGTAGTTGACTTCAAACATCCACGGTTCAAAGGGCAACATCGACATTGTTATTAGGGATGAAAAAGACGACCTTATTCTTGGGGCTGGCAGCCTTATTGAACATCGGGACATTGCTTATGTTGAACTCACGACACCCTTCCTGCAACCATTATGTGGAACCGTGGATGTTTGAAGTCAAGGGCCTTATTATCCAGAGTGAACCAAACTATCATCACATCGCTTCAATAAGCAAAGAAAGTCAACACTTCGAGCGAACGATTGCCAAACTCGAAGGACCTTTCTTTCCTGACTTCATTCAAATAGGTATAATTGCTCATACTTGTGCACAAAAAGTCATACATAATAGTTTTGTGGTTAGAAATGTTGATAGCTCACATTTTCTTTTCTTTTTGTTGATTTTGAACGTGCACATAGTTGGAAGTTGTAGTATGAGGTTATAGTTGACCATATAGACCTTAGTTGATGGTTGCAATAGCGTCAGGTAGCTGCAGCAGCAGTTTATCATAAATTTTGGCAGTCGATGGCTGCAGTAGCAGTTAACCATATATGTCATAATTGATCACATAGGTTGTAATGAATAGCTGCAGTAGAAATTAACTATATAAATAATAAATGGTCACATAGGTCGTAGATACTGCAACTCTTCTCTCGGATATTTGACGTTGTAGCTAACACTTAGTATAATGAAGAAAATCAATGTTAGAAACAAATATTGCATTCCTTCTAAAACAATTATAAGTAGCGGTCGTCGGGAGTTATTTTCAAATATTCAATACGACGTTATTCATTACACCATATTCAAGATATATTGTTACGCCATATTAGGATATATCGTTACACCGCATTCAAGATACATCTTCGTACAGTATTCAGGATACATCGTTAGAAAACGGAGTTTGTCAACGACGGCAAACAAGGATGATGGGTGGTGGTCGACAATATTTAGCGACTATGAAGGCCGGAATTATTGTTAGAACTTAAATGTGAAATTACTTGTTACACTATATTTAAGATACACGTTATATAACATTTAATATAGTCATTACATAGTATTCAAGATACATCATTACATTGTATCTGACATATGACGTTAGTAAGCAAAGTTCGTTGACAGCGGCGAGTAGGGGTAGTTGACGATGGTCAACGTTGGCAGATGGGCGGTGGTCAATTACGACCGATGGACAGTAGTCGACTGAGGTTGGCAGCTACGGAAGCTGAAAGTTATCGTTGGGACTTCAATACGACGTTATTCGCTACACCTTATTTGAGATATATCATTATGCTATATTCGAGATACGTCATTATACTGCATTTGAGATACATTATTAGTAAGCAAAGTTTACCGATGACGATGAGCAAAGGGGAAGACGGTGGCCAAAGGAGGCCGGCGAGCGGTGGTTGACGGTGAGCAATGGTCGGCAACAACAGATGTCGGTAGTTATTGGTAAGTCTTCAGTCAAGAGCAATAGAATTTGACTCTTCTCCCCTTTAAAGTAAGAAGATGGGGTCTATTTATAGCCCCTGGAAAAGACAATTTACTCTTTTGACGAATAGCTTCCCCAAACACCTGATTGGACGGCTCATATTGATCCCTCTTTATCATGTGAAATTTTTTTATAATTTGAGAACTGAGCATAGGCTCGTTGGAATCCTCTCATCGAGACACTCTATTTTACTATAAATATGTCAAATTTGAAGTTTGATTTTTCATTCAATTAATATAATCTGAAGTCTACAAATAGACTTTAATGGCTTGATTTAGACTTGATAGAACTTAGATAGAACTAATTTTGGTATCATCGGATTCGTCTTGTTCAGACGGTCAGTTTGATTGTAAACACGCTAAAATTAGAGCCTTGGATGATCCTTAATTTGAATCTGATATATTTTTTGTTTAAAAAATATCTCGAGATTCATGTCGGATGACAAAAGTTTATTGATTGCATATTAATAATAAATCATGACAATTTAAAGAAAATACATTAAAAAAGTTTAAAAATAGTTTAAAAAGCTATAAGCTCAACATTTCCTAATTAAATCAACTAATTAAACCAAAATAACATTAAATAACACCATACACGATGCACATGTGCCTTATCAAATGATCTCTATCAATTCTCCCAATTTACAATGAACACTCTCTATGATAATAAGTTGCCGGTAATTGTAAAGCATATCAATGAAAACACATTGTAAAAATACCAAAACAAAATTTTGGAGGCTTGAAAAACTCTATAAAGCAACAAATCCTCAGAATAGAAAAGGAAAGCAAGCACAAGTACAATAAAACTATGTTTTTGAGAACATGATAAGACTTCTAAGAGTGTGTGAGATAACATATTTTTGGTAAAGCAGATCAAGCATACAAAATAGATATGATCTAAAACATAACATTTATCCCTATCACTCCCAAAAATATAGAATGAGCAGATGCTACAAGTTCAAAAATTTCATAATGAAAGGCAATTAATTTTCCAATGTCAACCAATAACACATGCAAATGAACTAAGAAAAAGTGCAACAAAATCAAAATAAGTTGCATGCAAGATTGACGAAGACATATAAGTTTCTTAGAGTTAGTATGGCAGATAACTTCATTCGGACAAAAAGCTGAAAACTTATGATAAACATCTAAGAAAGTCCAAAGAATTTTCCAACAATAATAACTAGCTCTCTTACTGAGAACAAGCAGTTTAAGAAGGTGGGTTATTTCCTTTAAGCACAAAAAAACCACATTAAGTCAACTCTTTGGTGAAAAGCATCTTTAGATTTCAAGTTTCATGAAAGAAGCCATCCAAAAAAAAAAAAAATTCTAGTTTGTATTTTGAAATCAATACATCCCGCAAGTTCAAGGCCTAGAATGCAAGCTCATCGATTAATAAATGTTTTAAACTTTATTTACAATAGTCATAAAGAAAGTAATCAAGTGAATCTCATCACGGACGTTGTCTTTTTCTTTCCCAAGTAAATTTCTTGATGAGAACCTGAGAAAGTGCAATTGAAGAAACAACAAAAGCAAGAAAAAACTAAATATGAACAATCAGTGCTCCAAAATGCAAGATGCAGATGACATTAAAGATACCGAAAATGATAAGAAAAATAAATTCAAGAAAATGAGACCTAAACTTTCAGACAAATGGTGGATGCAACAAAATGGTATGGTTGCTTTATATTTTGTCGCGGAGGTTAGGGATGAAATCATTGCAGTTGAACTTCATTCTACTCCGTAAGCGTGAGATAAACCCTAGATACGTGCTTGGCTAGACGGTCAGCTTGAGAATGAATTAGCTTGGCGAGCAAATAAGCAGTCCTAAGGTTGCGGAGGGCAGTCCGCAGTTGATTGTCGGATAGGGTTCATTATTTTTAATTTTCAAGGTAAGTTAAGATCTTTATGTTTTTTCGGCGACGCATAAATTTGCGAGAGATTGCATTAAAATTAAGGCTGTGATGATAATTTTTAAAATATTCATCATTAAAAGAATGTGTTTTGGAGGATAAATTTGATATGCTTTGAGATAATAAAAATTAGAAAAATATTTCTTGTGTTTGTTATTTGGAAAAATAAGCCCAAAAATTTTTCAAGGTTCAAAATATCATGGTTTTAACATGGAGTACTTATTTAAAGCATATTACAATTCATATTGGTTCCAATAAATTTTGAATCATATTAAGGTTATTGCATCCTCTTAGTATGTTGGGTCTCTTATCTTTTTTAGGGTTCACACAATTCAAGAGCAATATGTGTACTGGAGAAAGAAGAGAATGTATGTATTTTACATGCCTGAGTTACATGCTTTTTGGATGTTTCTCCTTCGACATAGCAGAGAAGATTATCTAACGAGCAAGAAATAAAAAAAAAAAAAGAGCAAGAGGGATCTCGAGAGAGTTATAGTCTGAGATCTCTAGAAAAAGTCTGGAAGAGTCTCCCTTTTTTGATCTCTCTTCCCTCTATTATACATGTTAAGGAAAATATTAAAATATGAGTTGCAGTATCTAAAATCTTCTCACAACATCTCGATGAAAAGATTGTGTGAAAGTTAGGTGACACATAATAAAGAATGTGACATATATCCATAATTGTTGTTGGCCTTGACTTTTGCATTCAGTTAATTCTGAGGATCATTAATAAGGAGAATTTAATGGATGGATTTGATTGATCAGTCTGCTAAGTGAATTTGACAGGTCAATCTGTTGGGTTAATACGGCAAGTTATCTCGACAAATAATACAAGAAAGCTAGCATATCAATGAATGAAATCAGTGAGTCACCTTAGCAGCATGGTGGTTGTAACTCCTGAGTATATGAGCTTATCAGGCCCACAAGGGCTACTTGTTGCATATTTTGGTCCACAGAAACTGATTTTTGGCATAAAGATGCAAATTTTGGTTCATGCTCCAAACTTGTTCGGGCATGGCTTGAAGGTTGATTTGAGCTTGATTTTAACAATGATTAAATAAGATTCAAATTGAATTTAAACTTATCTTGCTCAAAATTCAAGCATGAATTCTACCATTGTTGGAATCTGTTTCATGCATAGCGTTTCAGGTATTAAAAGTAAGCCAAAAAACACTTTGGAATGAATTTAATATGCTTGAGATCATTACAATTTTTTCCCGAGTATCAAAGAAGATATTTTGTTTTGGGGCTCAATTGAGGAGAAATTTTAAGTCATGCTAATCTGTTAATCATTAAATTTACATTGAAGTAAATATGATATAATACCAACTAATTATTATTATTATATTATACTTATCTAAAAATAATAATAATGATGAAACTTTTCTCATTAAATTGAAATCAATGTTGCAGTTTAAATTTTTTAATTTAGATCACGTATGTCAATCGCAGGTCATGGCTAGCACAACGCATTCACAAAATCTAATAGGAGAGTGTGAACTGAAAATTGAGCAATGATTCAAATCAACATAAACTTAATTTCAATAATATTTTGGCCACAAATAAAACTATCGTAGCATCTAAATTTAAAAAATTGAAGTTATACCAAGATGTAAACAAGCTATTGCTATAAAATTTTATCAATTAGGTTATTCCAATATTAAATATATTCAATGACATATCTAAAGTACGAGTTTTGGTACGCCACCAACAAATTTTCATCATCTGACAGAAATCTCGATGCTATCTTTTGAGCAAGAATTTTCCAAATCTTGATAAAAACTCGTCAAGAAATGTGATTTCAGCAAATTTATAATCAAACTGACTAACTCGATAAGAGGAACCCAATGTTATCAAAATTAGTCCAATCCGAGTCAAATCAAGCTCGGATCAAGTCATTAAACCACTCTAGGAAGTTTTCCGGACATATTTAGAATGTTAAATGAATGTCGAATCTAGAAAGCCTATAACTGAATCGAGCGTCTCGACAAGATGAATCCAACGAGCTTTAGATTGCTTAATTCCAACATCGTTAAGACACTCAAATACCCACCAAACGCCGTCTGATCGAAGGAAGCTCTCCTGACCGTACGATCAAAGTGGTCTGTTTTTCTACATTCATTGCACCCAAAACACTATAAATAGAGCCCCCCCCCCCCCCCCTCTCATGAGGAAGGAGGGTTGAGGTTTGAGAGAAAACTTAAAGCTTTGAAAATGAGCTGAAGTCCAACAACACCCCTATCACAGTGACCATTGTCGATCGTCGTCGACCACTATTGACCATCGTCAATCACTGCAGACCGTCGTTAACACTACCGACCGTCATCGATCACTGTCAATTGTCGTCGATCACCGTCGACTGCCATTGACAACCATCGACTGTGTTTAAGCAATATTGTCGTCATCAACCACCACCAACCTTCGTCGACCCTCGCTGGCCGTCGTTGATGACCACCAATCACCATCGACCACCACCGACCGAAGGCCACCAGTCTACATTGTAACTTGGAAAACCAAGTAACACTTTCCCGTCTTTGGCGCAAGAAGTCTCTGTAATCATCAACTTATAGTAAATTTTTACAATTGGGTCAGACCGTGTGGGGTTTTCCCCTTATAGGTTCTCCGCATAAGAACTTCTAGAGTCAATAATGGTTGTTTTCTTTTACCTGAATATGTGTTGAATTCTCGTGCAATGCTCAGACAATAATACATTACTCTATAACCACAAATTTTCTCGCACACATCAATTTGTCGCCGTCTATGGGAACACTTCAATCTCACCACTGAAGTACTTACACGACTTACTACTTGGCCACTGGACATAATATGCGTAACAATAGAGCATCCAACTCCAATATCCATCATTCCAGGGAGCAGTTACGAAGCTAAGAGCGGCATGCTTCTTCATCTTCCAGCTCTGAAAGATGTTATCCCGCCAATGAAGGCATTTCAAGTCCATTTATAGAAGACAAAATGCACAAAATGGAGGAGTCTCAACTAGAGATCCTACAGCTCCTACACAGGGCTCAACAGCCGCTACCCACACCGTTGAATGAAGTTCATTTACCATTAACTCAACGACCTATGGGAAATGCACTACTCAAAGGAACTAGTTCTGCCCCCTCCCTAAGAAGGAACACTTCTTATGCTAGGTCGTGACACTGAGCTCTAGATACCAAAAGTTCCACTTATCCATTTTGTGTAGCTCACCTGACACCTCCATGTCTTACTACCATTCCAGATGATGTCATTATTAACAAACTATGATGCCTCGCTAGGGAAGATTTCCCTTAAAGAAAAAGGGTCTGCTCCTCACTCACTGTAACATCCATTAATCCTCCCTCTTAGCAGATGCGGTCCTCCAACACCCCATCCTTCAAGCTTCCAAACATCAACACATATGAAGGGATAACTGATCCTTATGAGCATGTTGATCATTATCAAACCATCATGCACATTCAACACGCTTCTGATGCTTCTGTGTCAAGTGTTCCCGACTACTCTTAAAGAACAAGCTCTAACCTGGTTCTACTCTTTGTTAGGGGCACTGTAAACACCTTTAACGAGCTTATCAGACTATTCACTGAGCAGTTCATGGTAAATCAACGGATCATTAAGAATTCATCCCACCTCAGGAATTCATCAAAGTGAAGGAGAATTGCTTAAGGACTACTTTTACGGGATTTCTGCTGAAGTCGATCAGATTCTAGGAGTGGATCCAGAGTTATCAAGAGGATTCATCCTTGGGGGCTCCTCTTCGGACACTTCCACTCATCAGTAATGTGGGAGACAGTTTGTTCTTATGCTGACCTTGTCCGCCGTGATGAGGCCCAAATCACTTTGGACGAGGCCATCAACACACATAAGGAGTAGTTTGAGCAGTTTGAGGGAAAGTGCAAAAGAAATGCCAGAGACAATAATTAATCTTCACAATGGAGAAAGTCCAAACAACAGAGGAATAGAGACCTCCTTCCTCAAACTTTAGGTCAGCGATGTGAGCATTGAATTAGGAAAAAGTACACACCATTCAACACGTCTCATGTTAACGTTCTGATGACCATCAATGATGAGGAAACTATTAAGCAGCCTGACCCGATCCACAACTACATAATTATTTAAATTCTGAAAGATTTCCAAAAACTTGACCCAATTTATATTCAGTGGCTAGTGTGCAAGAAAATGTGATATATAATTGATTAATGACTTACACACTAAGGGTACTACGCAAGTATACATATTATTTTAAGTATTATAGAGTTTTCTTTAAAAACCTCAGCATCGAACCCACAAAGAAAAATGAAATTTATAAGCTAACTAAGAATTATTTCTACCCAAACTATAAACTAAATTTGTAGGAAAATAATGTTGCACTATTTATAACAGGGTATATACTAAAGTAAGCTATGTCTAAATTAAAGCTAAAAGTAAATGCAAAGTTTCTAAACTACAAATGTGTGAAGGAGTACAATTATAATAAAATGTATTTCCTCTTGCAAAGAAATTGTAATCAGTGTAGGAATCAAATGGTTGAAGATGAAATTGAGGTATTGTGACAAATAGGAGCATACCTATTCTTTATCCTCTCCCGAGCACATAAATAACATTGGCTAATCTAAAGTTATGTTCATGATTGTATAGTAGTGGTGAGTAGATTCTAGCCTCTCACTTCCAGATTACCCACTGTGTCCTCTCTATAGGACCTACAAGGGACTCAGGTTCTCAACTAAGATCAAATTGATAATGGTTCTAGTTTGTCACTCTAGAATCATTGATTCTACACCCATCAAAACTTATCTCCCTATCTATTTGTACTCCCTATTAGACGTGGCATCCCCTCCATCCAAGGGTTATGTGTTACTCACTAGTTGGTAAAATCATAGCCCTCCCGGGTCATTATGTTTTGCAATGGATTTTAACGTCACAAATGGACAGTTTGCAAAGTAAATGAAGAACTTATGAAAGTACCATCACAAATTGT